AACACGCGCAATTATTTATTTAAATATTTTAAATATTTTAAACTTTTTACATTTGCCACCTTCGTACGGTATAAATTAACTATTCATTTTTATTCTCTTCTCACTTGAGAATGATGACATGGAGTCATCGAAACGTTGTGTGTTTTTCTCGCTAGTGTTTATTCTTAAATGTCTAACAAAATCTAATGTCATTCGAATTCTAATACAGTATCAGATAATTTGGCTTTATCAACTGCATTGATAGTGTAGATTGGCCACTGTAGCAAAGAGTTTCAAAAGCTGAAGTTTCAAGCATCATTAGCCCTCAGTTAGCCATGCGCTCAAAGGAGGGCTAAATTGCTCCAGATGTCAGCTTTGGAAACTCTTTACATTATATTAAGCAATTAATATTATCAACTCAGCTAATAAACCAATTTATGCTGTTAAACACCCCTGCACAAGCAGCACCAAAGTTTTTTTAAGATCCAACCCCCATTTATGTAATACAGTGCTAGTTGACTTCCCAGATGACTTTACTGTTATCAAATTCATAGCACAAGAAAAGTGCTAACAAAAATACTGGGTAAATCGAATGTTTTAATCATTATTACATCAAAATAAAGTTCCCAGCAATAACGTAGCTCCATTTTCTGCCTTTAAAAGCACACATAACCCACAATTCCTCTATTCGCTCCGACGAAGGGCTAACGCTCGAAACGTCAGCTTTTGTAATCGTTACGGTGGCCAATTTACCATTTCAACTTTGTTGATATATCCAAATTACATCAAAATACATCAGTACATCACACATTCAAACCTGTTCCTTGTTCATTCCTTTTGCAGTGAATTCTTTTAACATTTCTTTTCCGTTTTGTTGTAACAGTTTCCACTCCTCAGTTGTCCAAACCTTTCCATAGTTTTGATATCTCAAGCTCTTCCCAGTACATATACTTTCCAATAGTTCGTGTGTTATCTATGTGAAGGTTAAAAGATTAAATCATGAGATCAGAGCTCATCAATAACATACTCTAATCGAGATTTGAAGCGGCCACAAAATTAACAATTGAGAAGTTGATCAAAGTTTTACTCTTGATTAAAAGAAAGCAATCGGTTCTTATCATTTTGTTTTACTTGAAAAAAGTTCTTCAAATGGAATGAAGAACACTATGACGAGAAATCACGACTTAAGATACAAGGCAAATATCTACATGCGCTTAAACTTACGCAGAAAAAAATTAAAGCATTGAACTTAGCATCACATGACATTTTATTTCCCAAAATAAAAGTAACAGCCGGAAAGTGAATCACATAAAATTTTATTGCATTAAAATTTTGCCAAAAAATCACACTAATATATCGCGTTTGTTTTCTTGATGATCGCTTACTTTTTCGGCCTCTTGTTTTGAGCATTTACCCAGCAACTCTAGTCCTACCCTGCGACTTCCTCCGTCCGCCATCTTGTTTACGCGCCGTCTAGCACGGCTCAGCGGTCCTTCTCGGAGATGGTGCGCAAAAGGCATAGCAACTGAAATCGATTACCCTAGCAACAGAACACAGGGCTTCGAGGAAACAGTGAAGCTTGTATTGTTTGTATCTAGTTGTGGTTTTCGGCGCGGCTGTCGAAGAAAGCAAGACCAAAATGCTTCAAGAAGGCAATGGACGGGTCAAAGTCTACGCCAGAATTCGGCCGACGTCACGATTCGCGCAGAATATGATCGAACTCTTGCCCGATGGAAAATCGATCAATATTCACTGCAAGAAAGATTTGAGACGTGGTTACATCAACAATCAAATACTTGACTGGAGTTTTAATTTAGATCGCGTTTTACACAACGCCAGTCAAAGCGATGTTTATGAAGAATGTGCAAAGAGAATCGTTACCGAGGGCTTAGATGGTTACAACGGAACGATTTTGGCCTATGGGCAGACGGGAGCCGGAAAGACTTTCACAATGACTGGTTCGACTGAAAAATTCCAACACCGCGGAGTTATCCCACGAGCAATTCAACAAGTTTACAGAGAGATACGAGAAAGGTCTGAACATGCTGTGACTATACGGATCTCATATTTAGAAATATATAACGAGCACATGTTTGATTTGCTGAGCACCCTATCGGGGGCCCCCTTATTAGATCCTTCTCAGATGACCGTCACTGAGGATGATGATGGATATACAAGAGTGAAGGGGCTCAGTATTCATCAGGCTAATAGTGAAGAAGAAGCCTTAAATCTACTCTTTGAGGTAAGGTCTACACCTATAGCATGTGTGGTGACGGAGTAGAAGGACGTGATTAATCTAAGTTTTGCAAGCTGAATTTTGCTCAGATGCCCTTCATTCTACTAGTTATTTGTTGTTGTTGTTGTTGTTGTTGTTGTTGTTCATTTATTTGTTTAAGCAGGTTGATTAATTGGCAGCTGTAATAGCTGATGTGGACCTGCTGTCCTAACCCACCCATCCCACCCCAGGGGAGGACATCCAGCACACAGTAATCTTGTGAGTGGGAAATTAACGTCTCCTACCCCTAACCCTGTAGGAGACGGGACCTCCATTTATTCGTCCCTATCCGAGAAGACTAGAATATCTAACCATTTCTTGATGTTATAGAAAGGTAGCATATTCTTCTCAATTATTTTAAGACCTTGAGTGTTGGACTGGCCGGGGCTTGAACCCTCGACCTCCCGCACAGCAGTCCAGCGCTCTATCCATTGAGCTAACCGGGAGGCGGTTTCAACTCAATGAAAAAAATATAATGACCACGAGGATAAAAACAATTCTAATTAATAATATCAATAATAATAACAACAATGACAATGATATTAATAATATTACATTACCAAGACCTTAAAATGGAAATTAAAAAGATTTGGAACTGTGGCAAAATACTGATCATCAGCACATCGGTTGAAAAAGTATGATTTCCAGAAACTCTGGTTCATTACAAAACATTCACCAACTGGGCACAGCACAGAGCTTTGATAATACCCATTGGGATGTCAAATCATTCAACAGGCTATGTTTTCTCTAGAGGTAGAGTGGACGGTTGTGGGAGGGTGGTAGGGAAAAGTGTACCCCACCCCTCCCTTCTTCTTCTCATTGACCTTTACTCATTCCATGATGCAAATTTCGTTCTCTCCCCACCCTTACACTACAATAAAAATCAAAGATGAAAGCTCTAATTTTCACCAGTAAAATACTGAGCAGTCTCACTCACTAAAATGGTGACTACTCAGCAGGCTACTCAGGCTGGGGCAGATCCAGGGGTGGCTCAGTCAAGCCACTCAAACTTATCCCTCAGAATGCTGGAAATCATGTTTTGGAAGACCTAATTTTCAAAATCTTGGTCCTCTCGAAAGGGAGACAATTCTCTGTACCCCCCTTGACAAAATCCTGGATCTGCCCTAGTCAGGGACTAAAAGGGAACTACCCCTGCTTACTGTTGGATTACAAATCACTCTGTCTTGTAGATTGTATCTATAAAAGAGATTATAAACTACACTTTATAACCTCTTTAATGATAATGTTAACTCAATCTAGGGCAGAAATCGCAAAAGGCACACCCTAAGTGAAATTCAGTGGGCTTGAAAAACAACTTTGTATAGTTAATTGCCATTGCCTTTGCACTTCATGTACTTCTATTTGTATATGCAAGATCTAATACATTTCGGAAGGGTTTTCTTTCTATGATCTATCAATGACTCAATGTCATAGTCTGGTTAAGTCACACACCCTCAAAATCAAAAGGGGACTAACACTTTATATTGAGTTAAAATTATTGATCAAAGATCTTACATCTATTTTTTTGTTTATTTCAGGGTGAAACTAATCGTATTATCGCTCAACACGCATTGAACAAACGTTCATCCCGCTCGCATTGCGTGTTTACCATCTACATTGAGTCACACTCGCGCGTCGAGTCCAACACGAAGTACGTCACCTCCAAGCTGAACTTTGTGGACTTAGCCGGATCTGAGCGATTGGGAAAGACACTGTCTGTAGGTGATACGCAAGTGGAGGCCATGTACATCAACAAGTCCTTGACGTTCCTAGAGCAAGCTGTGATAGCCTTGGCAGACAGGCGGAGAGATCATGTTCCCTTCAGGCAAAGCAAACTCACTCACGTGTTGAAGGATTCCATTGGTGGAAAATGTAACACTTTGCTGATTGCCAATATATGGGGAGAGGCCGCCCACATTGAAGAAACGGTGAGGGTTATTCCGTCATTATCATTTCACAGCAAAGGGGTGTAGTAAGAAATAAATTAAGAAAGGAAATAATGAGTGGAATGAAACAAAGGCGTCCTGTGTGTAAATATACGTGGCATGGAAACGTTTTGGAGATTACAATGTCGATACATTTTAAGAAGTAGATCCTTTGCTGCGCTTTGTGTGTGGCCGTTTGGGCTGCCTCCTTCCAGTTGGGATTTTTTCAAAAGTTATGTTTATTCACAATGTGGGTTTCCAGTTTGGCCCTGAAAAGCCCCATTGAGGTAGTGTTTAATCATTAACTGTAGATACAAACCGATATGTCTCGATATTCAGGAAAGAAAAAAACTGACTGCCACTTGTTTCTTCTTCCAAGCTCTCCACATTACGTTTTGGCAGTCGAATGATGAACGTTCCGTCAGAACCCGCTGCTACGGAGCACTTCGACATGATAAGACTCTGCAAACAACACGAGAAAGAAATCCTAACTTTACGACAAGAACTCGCCATGCACGACACGCTGACAAACCGCAGTCAGATCTCCTACGAGCCCCTCTCAGAGTCTCAAATCCAGGATGTCCGCGAGCAGGTGAAACGATTCTTGGCGGGTGAACTGAACGACATCGAACTCGTCAATGTTCGGCAAATTAAAGAGACATTTGCGCAGTTCCGATTGATCGTGAACACGATGGAGGCGGACGTTGAGGAAAAGCTGCGAGGAAAGTATGTTTTACAGGAGAGAGGTGGAGCAACTCTCGGTGAGTTATTATCATGCGGCGCACGGATTGCGGGAGGGAGGGGGGGGAAAAGAGATACTTAAGCCCTTTTCGCAGGAAACTGTGCCCGGCCTCTCAGAACCCCTGCCCCATTACCATTATAATTTATTCTGTGGTCAATTATAGAACCCAACCTGGTCACTTTTGGGTAAATGAAACACCTTTTTAACCACGAATCTTCCCATTTTTTCAAATCACTACTTAGAAGAAGTTTCTTATCCGTAAAATCCCCCCAGAAATGTGCTACTCCATTCTAATAAATCTATTTATGATACAACCCAACTGTAGTCAATCCAGTCGTAAAAATGAGACCCCATCCAGCGGCATATCCCCACGAAGTACCAGAAGGTATGGCCCCCCACCCCACCCCCGCCCTGGTCATGCCGGTACATTTGTGCTTTGCATTATTTTATTACTATTTTTTTAAAGTCGTCTGTTTGACGGTAAATTTTCCGTCACAGACTGACTGCATCTATCTTATGATCTGTCGCATTCTTTTAGTGCTTCTTGGTTATTGGCTGTTATACTGTTGTTGTACTTTTAATTATCAGTTCCTCGAAAATAAAATATTTAATACGGATTCTTTATTCCGTTGGTTGGAAAAATATTTTTGAAATTGCATTCTCGATCGCCAAGGGGTTGAAATTTTCTAAAAGGAACTAATTAGATTTCCCCGGAGCTTGTACAACTCAACCGCCATCATCCATCTTTTAGCAAAGAGCTCGAGTAACATCTCTTTTCACGAGGAGTTTGGAGTAACATCTGTAAATTCTAAAAGAGAACGATGAACAATTGTTTTTACTCAGTAGCCAGGGCAGGTAAGCAAGGCACTGTCCAAGGCGATGAGAGCGGATTGGTTGGAGAAGTGGATGGCCAAGGATTTGGTGTAGGTGTTGCTCCTCCTGGCGTAAAACCCAACGTTGCCTCCTTGGTAAGCACCAGAAAGGTAAAGAGTCGGGGAAAAGCTAAAGAGAGAGACAGCGCAAAGTCTCCCGCACAGGGAAGTGGAGGGCAAATTGATGGTCAAGCCGGAAGCGATGGGCAAGATCAGGGGCAATCACCTTCAGTTCAGACTCCTACACAGCGCCTGGCCACCCCTCTACCCAAAAGCGAAGCCTTTGAGGAATTCAAACAGGAGAGAGGCAGTGAAATTAACAGGATCCTCAATCAAAATAAAGGTTAGTGGTATTCTTGGTGGGTTGTATCAGAACCGGGGATTCTGAGTGAGATGCAAGGGGTTGGAAATTGAGATGAATGTGGGGCAGAAAGTGGCGGCTTGTTCACTGATTCTAGGTCGAATTGTTGATCTTAAATCATTATCTTTTAGTAGGGTAAGAAATCGGAGAACAAAAACGAAATAACCTTGAAATAACGACAGGAATCATTAGATTTGGACGTTAGGTTCGAGGATTAAGCACGGGCCACAGCTGACACTTCTGATTCCCACGCATTTTTCATCAAGTAGAGGTTTCAGTGCCGTATTACACATCTTAACTTTCCTTATGTTTTTCCTAGTTATTTTTTAACATTACTATTAGTTAAGGCAAAGCCCTTTATATCTCTTACACCGGGACTGCAGAGTTTAATGACCCTTTTATTTAGCACCACTCGCACTCTGATATTGTCGGAGGAGAGGGTGGGGTCAGTTACAAGTTGACTTCAATATTTCAGTCTCACGAACCCAACAAATACCGGAATGAGGATACGGCGAACTTTCAACCTCAGGCCCTGGTGCTTTCCTGGGGACGTAGGGGACTGAGTCATAAACGTCGGGGACTGAGTCATATCACGACTTTAGAAGTTTTAGGTGTCGTTACGATTGGCTACTGTAGTTAAAAGTGCGGCAATAGCGTTCGACGTCTTCACAATGAAAAGTTTCCGATTTCATTCGTTTCTGTTTTTTGTTGTTGTTATTGTTGTTGTTTGTTTGTTTGTTTTTTTTATTTGCAGTTGCAAGCTTTTGTCTTTAACCCGGGGAATCTAGTAGAACCTTTGGATAAGCTATACCACTCTCTGTATGTGCTACTGCAGTTTATAAGTACCTAATGATTGCTTATTCATTGCAGAAATTTTGCGTGAAAAAAAGAGAAAGGCCAAGGAACTGTCCTCGTCAGTCAACAGTCTTATGGAAGAAATCAACGAAGCCAAAGAAATTCTGGAAACTCGTAAACAAAACCGACTGGAACAAGGGGAATTTCGTACAGACGATGGTCAAGTCATTATTGATGAGGATGAGTATGAACTTGTTTGCAAAGCAAACGATCTAAAGTTACGTTATCGGCGTGACTACGAAGACCTGCTCAACACCAAATCCGAAGTTAAGTACTGCGAGAACCTGGTCAATCAATGTAGGCATCGTCTCGTAACCGAGTTTGACAATTGGTATTCCGAATCGTTCCTCGGAGCCGGTGATGAACCGAAGGGTGGCCGAGAAGGGCAAGTTCCCGAAGATGAACAAGAGAAGTTTGATCGGCTTCAGCTAGAGTTGTTGATGGAACATCCCGACTCTGTACCTTACTACAATGCTAAGATGCAAACTGAACGGCGCATGCACTTAACGGCCAATGGAAGACAGCAAAAGAAGAGAAAGCCTGGAGCTCTGATAGCTACAGTGCGAAACAAGCCACCAACCACACTGACTGTCACGTGATGAAATAAGAATACTTAAAAAAAGAACCCAACTACATTCTCGAATAATTTTAATAGTGTTTAATTTTCCTAAATAATTAGTCTCTTTCTGAGCATTACTACAGATATAGTTTTATGAACGGATACAGGCGCATGCGCTGTTCCGTATGGTTTTTCTCTGCATATGCCTGTATGATCCGTGTCTATACTATCAAGAAATGATCAAAATCATGTCATACCAATTGTTTTCAACTTTATACAATATTCACGTGACTGTCGATATGAAGTTTTTGTTCATATTATTATTACCGTTATTACTGTTTTAACATTATTATTTTATTATTTTCATCGCTATTTCTAGGATTCATCCATGGGATAATAATATTCTATACACAGTTCGCGCTGGTATCCAGTAACCTAACCAAACTGACATTATAGAAAGAATACTCTTTCTTTTCCTTTCACTGTTTTATTTAGTTAAACAAAGGACAAGGTGTGGTCAGTTATTTGTTTTCATTTGAATGGAAGCTCTGTATTATCAGTATAATCTATTGTCTTGTAAGTTCTGCGCATAGTGCTTGTTCATACTGTAATCTAATTCGGTCTGTAAATAAAAAAAAACGAGAGATAAAGGCTAAGCTTTTTTTTACATTGTTGTCGTTGTTATTGATTTAACAAATCAGCAGCGGTTTAGCGTGGTCTGTACTCTTATCGTCAACGATATTCGTCATGATAATGGTCAAAATGTTGTGGACTTACGAGGTGCAGCCGACTGTCGATCTTCGATGGTGCGTATTGAAAGTTGATTGTTGAGGCCAGAAGTGAAGCACGAACATATTCTTCTGTGTTGTTTTAGACCGCTCGGCCATCCTGACTTCTACTTCGGATTATGGTATCACGGAACCAAAATTTGCTTTTCATTCAGACTGAAATAGCATGGAAGTAAGTTGCGTTAACCCTTTCTATTAAAATTTACATTTTCTTAAAGTTAATAGACGCCAAGAGATTATTCTCCTGTAGACGCGATTTCGGATTCTTTATTTACTTTTAGAATTTTGGCTTTTGCTATTTACTTTTTGAGATGAAGTGCGATATTGAAATTTCCTCAAAAGTGCTAATTTGAAGTTAGAAGACGGTCAAAAAAATAATAAAGCGTTAAAATATTTGCCCTCATGAGGTTTCATGCAAACCAAGCAGCCAAGAAAGACATCTTGTTTCAGCAGGGCAAACAGCGGGCACTATTGTGGCCGCTAGACTGAGCTTGACAAATTCTTATTGCAGTCACGGTTTCAGCCAAAACTGCTCGAGCTTTTCTGCATGCATGTATCTGATTTAGCAGTCTGTTCACCAAAACAGCTTTGTAATTAATTCTACTTATAGTCACTTGTGGTAATTAAGTTTTAAAAGTATGAAAAGTTTTTTTTTTCTTTAGGGAAATTTAAGCGGCAATTGAAGGAGGGGGGAGGAAGTTGGACCTTAACAAGTTCATATCACAGTTCATAAGCCATTTTAACGGGTTATCCATTTCTCAGTTTGAGTAGAAACCTATAAATGGATCACTTACTAAAATGACTTATTTTCAGCAGCATTCGGACAACAAGCGATGCACTTTGGAAGTAAGGTGAGGCATTTTTAATGAGGATTTTACTATATTTTTACTTCTCAAGAGCGGTCGTAAATATTCCCATGCAAACTCTTAGAATTTTGACAGGACGCTTATTGTGCAAGTTGATCATCCTGCTCTCCGCTGGAGCTTGGGCGACCTGTTAACTAGTCCCCAACCCTCGTCACGATTCCTCGGCTTTCATGTTCCCCGCCCTAAAGTCCCATGATACTTTGAAGCCTTCATTTCCTAGAAACTTCTTGATGACTGCTTTCACTTTCAAAAATTTCTCTTTTGTGGTTAATCTAACCGACAGATTTCGACAAAGTAGTTAAGGTAGGTTGTCGATTCTGTACTTTGTGTGCCTTCGATCTAATAGCTCGTCACAGCAAAGCCCAAAAGAGAGCACTCGTTTGTCAGAGTAAGAGAGGAACTGGTAGGCTTCTTGAGTAAATATATTTCACCCAAATTTCCTCTTTCAAAGCTAAGCAGATTATCCTGGTGGTGAATCTCATTTTGGTCGTCTCTAAGTCGAAATAGAGATATTTTAACTCAGTTCTGGTATCCATCCATGTTCCGTAGCTTAGTGGAGTAACATCTTTCGAATAATAACCGGAAAAATATACTGCTTCGTGCTCGAGCTTATTAATAGATAATTTTTGTTTTTACTTGTACTTCGAACTTACTCACACGCGAAAACTAGAATCGTAATTTATGAGATGGAAATGAAATCTCGGGTTCAAAAATTATAATTTGGCAATGGTTGATCTCAATTGCTAACAGGTAGCTATCGTTGTGGTTAATTTTTTAAAATTATTTTGGGGTACAGTACGTGTCGATTTATTTGTGTTGTATTTCCTTTGATGATTGTATTTATTTCTTCTGTCATTTGACCTGCAGAACATCAGAAATCAAAAATATGTCGAGGGATTACTACCATGATATTTAAACCATGGCAAGTACAGCTGGGTAAGTGATTGACAATCAGTATGTTTCAGAAGGTTTACTAGCCTTGTTCTTGCAGCAAGAATTGTCACAAACTGAGCTAATGCTCTCAAAAAGTTTAAGATTAAAAGATATACCTTATGGTCCTTTCTTTGTGATTTTCGAAAATGCATCCAATTACATTTGCTGGCCTCCTCCATACATTGCTTTGGGTTTTAATTTCAATTTATACATGCTTATCCATCTCTAGAAAAATAACCAAGGCCTTTAAGCTTGTAAATTAAATCCAATATAGATGTAACATCCATTGCCCCCTTTCACTGCACAAACAAAATCTCACGGGTGCTTCAATCCCTGCATGTAATAGCCTCCTCTTGACAATAACAGTTACTGGTACCTCCAAGTGGATCAAACTGAGATCTCCTAGATTTATGGAGCTGCAAGAAACACATGCAAACTCTTACTCTTTTTCCACATTGGAAAAAAACGGGTGATTGGGTAATTGTGCGGGATTGCATAATCTTGCGTCAAACAAAATATTTTGTATCTCACTCCCTGTTAAAGTAAACATTGGGTTCTCCTCATAAATCATACATTTTCTTGTAATATCAATGTGAAATTCCTCCTGTAATGGCTAAATGTCTTCTAGATTTTACTTTGAATGATTTTTATCTTATTGAATGAACTTTAGAACCTATTTTGAAGCAATTCTTTGTTCGTCAAAGCAATCGAAAGTGCTAAACGAAAACACACGAGGAGATCGTCCCATAATTTGAATTCGCCAGTAAAAGTTACTGTCGATGGAAGCCGTGTTTTCTTATTCCACTACGATTTACGAAAGTCTTAATATCTGACAACCCATTCGTCCTGTAAATGCCAAGAACAAAACATTCCTTTTTTCACTCTGAATGAGAAAGCCACAACGCCAGCGGCCTTATTCAACAACACCTCTGATTCATTATTTGAAAAGCATAGGCACAAACCGCCAATGAAAAATAGAGTTAGAAGTAGACTAGTGCCCAGGAAAGCGCAGGCTACGGTAAGAACGCCTTGTTGTTTGAATAATGCAATCGACGAGTTCAATGAAAGCGTGGAAATTCTAGAGTGTTTTTGAAGTTAAATAGTCTGAAAATAGTCTAAAATAACCTAGAAATCTTGATACTCGACAGAAATACCCGTTTTGATTGAAATTTCAAGTAAAAATCTCCATATTGTGCGGGATTTGGGAATTTTCACGGATTGTGCGGGATTGTATGGGGTGCCATGTAGGACAATATTGTGTGCCCAAAAAATAAAATGCAAAAGTTACGTATATATGGCATGGATCAAATAAATATATGAATAGAATATATGTGCAACATATATATGGCATGGACCAAGTCAATATATGGTACTGAATAAATAAATA